CGTTTCATGAACGGCCATTTAACGGTATTAAAAAAATCTAACAATAAGAAACTTTTTTAAAACCGGATTATACTCTTCTTTTGAGTATGAAATTGGAAGAAGACGTGATTTTCTACCGAATGAGTAAAAGAATGAATATTTTTATGCAGGTTTTTCATGAAATATAATTGAATTTTCAAGGGCATCGAAAATCAATGAGAACATTGCATACTACATAAGTAGTCATTTTTTGAAGAGTATAGATCTTGCATGCAGCCAAAAATAAGTTCTTCCAAAAGCCGGCACCCTGAGGTAACTGGATCATTATAGATTTATGCTGCATCATGATTAGTTTTACAACAATACTTAATTTATCTTTTCGAAACGAGAACGCATTTCGAAATGTTGGTTGACATTTCATGAGTAAGCACATATACTGTACGTACAATACACCGACTTCTTGTTGAAATCAGGGATTGACTGATTTGGGTTCGCTACCGTTCACTGATCACTCAAGCGCGTACACAAAGAAACAGTGGGAGTGGAATCATCACTTGTCGTATGTCGTTCCTGTCGAGTGGAATCGACTTGATTGCCTGACCGGGAGTAAGCTTACCATCGGCGGCTTATTCGAACTCTACTATTTTTTAATTATCGCCTTGACCTTCCGTTATTATACAGCTGCGCATATCAAGTTTCTGCTCTCTTAACTTAAACAATCCATCCCTCTCGCGTCCTGTCCCACGCGTAAAGCCCTCCTTACCGCCATTCCCGTAAGACATGGATTACTGATCAACGATCTATTTTCGAGGTCCTACAACCTACTGTTGTCAAAACCACTAACCCTAGAGCCCCCTTGCAATAACTAGATCCATGTAGTTAATTCCCTACTACTGAAAAGTGAGTCTTCAATTTACTTGACCAAGCCTGATGGCGTGAAGTTTTGAACCAACGCCTGTGTTGGCATGGGAAGGCAAATTTTTGGCCTGAAGGCAAAAATAATTTAATTTTGCCCCCAGGACGCACGCCTTGTTAGGAGAAGCCGCATAGTTTTGGCTCGATACTGCCAGGACCACCTGGCTTCCACATCTGCTGGTAGACCACCCACCGGGGGGAAGATGCCCAGATGCCCCTTGTGATCTGGCCTTCCCACTGCCTGCGGCCACTATCAGGGAACAGTGTGTGTGTGTGTGTGTGTGTGTGTGTGAACACGCACAGTTGAGATAATACTGCCTTCCCGCGTGAAAAGCAGGCTTCCACAGTCCAGGAGGCCATCCGTGATCTGGCATCTCGAAGGCCAAATTTGTCTACCCATCTGCTGGAGACTGTAGACAAATGGGGTTCTAAGGCCCGCTGGTTGTGTTCCCATGCACAAGACTCAGGAGTCTCTGGAAACGGCTGCACGAGTGTTCCGCTTGGAACCTCGGATTACATATGCACCTTGCCAAGAGGAAATCACCCTTTCCTACTCGACCCTCAGCTGGGCTCCATTCATCGTGGCCTAGCTGGACGCAAACACACAGGTCGTTTGTGGTCTCTTGTGTGATCTTAGGCTGATTTGCGGAAGGGGGGGGGGTGCGGCGCGGCAGGTGTTCATCCGGTGTAACTTACAGTTAGTGACCTAACTCATGAAACGTGTCGAAGTTTACGAATGCTTGCCAAACACTCGCAAACCGACACCATTTCATGAGTCCAGTGTCTATGTTAATTACGTACACGCTTAAAAGAATTAAAAACATGAAAGAAACATTAAAGGCAGTGTTGTGTTGTTCAGAAATGCCAGATTCTTTGGAAAAGCGCAATATCCCGAAGACGCCAGAAATTAATCTAATTTAGTAAACTTCTTTTTAGATCTATAGAATTATTTTCATACCAAAAACGTAATAAATAGGAAAGTAGAAATAAAATAACGTCTAATAATAGTGTTTCAGTGAAGTTTACATCTGAATATCGTTTGATAATTAGTGTGATTTAATATATGTGGTTTGTCAACTGCCTACATTCTGGGTACAGATTCTAAAACATTTTTCCAGGGCTCCGTGTTATCCTTGCTTCTTTTGAGTTAAATGAGATGGAGTTCAACGAGAGAAACTGGATTTTGCTTGATTTCACCAATGGGGACGCCGTAGGAACAAAAGTTTTCATAAGGTGGCATGCCATGAGGCCAGTCGGTGCCTAATAAATTTAAATAGACCTGAGGCTGATCCATTGGGATCTGGGTATGTCTGTCCGAGGACGGCATTGTTGGGGATAGTTCTGGCGACTGCCCGCCAGAAACCGGAGCAGCGAGTGCAGTCCGCTTTGTGAGATCGACGAACATCATTCTAACGTGACTGCAAATATTTTCGATCACAGCTGACAGGGCGCGGGTCTGTGACTCAGCTGGTAGAACTTTTAGCTGTTGTTGATGAGGCTAGGGGATGTGCTCGTTCCGCTGCGACTTCGGAGTTAAACACGAGCCCTTGTAGACGGTCACAGTGGTGATATGGGAAAGAATGATTAAAAAGACGAGGAAGACTGGAATGGCCATTCCTGGCTTGTTAAACGTCATCAGGCAACCATACCCAACCTCAGGTTTGTATGGTCTAGGACTCGAGCCCGCGCTCTTTGATTATTAAGCGTTTTCAAGTACAACGCTCTACCACTGGGGCGCGGATCCCCTGTCCCACTGGCTGTGATCGAGGACACTGTGGGGACTGGCGTTCACCGACCTTACAGGCAGTCGCACAGTAACAGGGCCTTTAGTTTCAAGAAAAACCTGTCCTATATTCAAATTTCAGGTCCGACGTTCACTGGACAGAAAACCGGGAATGAACCACCCAGCCTCCCGTGACCCAACCGGTTACACTTCCCGATTACGTTTCAGTCTCACTGTGCAGCGGTGATCACACACACACACACACGCACACGATAGTTTGACCATCGATTTCGATGATTTCCACCGTGTGCCCCACAGCAGCAGCGGTGAGAGCAGGGACGGTGACTTGGCGCAGGGGTTTATACAGCCAATAGACTTGCACGGCATCTACCTACACTCTCTCCGCCTCCCCGCCTGAGTCCGGTGTCAAGACAGAGTCAAGAAGACCGGAGACGAGGGAGGTCGCAGGTGGATGGCTCGGACGGATCCTAGCCTTGGCGCTCCACTCCGCACCCCCTGGTCAACACACAAATGACCAGGATTTTGACCACAAAGCAATGGGGTGGTGGCAGTGGTCCAGTAGTACGGCGAATGCCGACAACAGGGTCCGCCAGCGCACCCCGCAAATGTTGGCATTGGTTATTGCGCACAGATAACGCCTGCCAGAATCCGATGTGGCCCCGTGTTGGTCCAGCGCATCTAACGCGTGGCCCGTTTAGAGGACACACACACACACTAAGTTACCGACGTTGTGAACTTCCATCCCAATGTCCCCGGCGTCGGTGTGAGCGCCTTTTGTCCGTAGACGTTTGCAGAAAACGTACTTTAGATAAGGCTGCTGCGTCACCTCAGACGGAAGAAAGACATGACGAGAGCAGTTCCATCTCCTGGAAGGGGCAGCAACAAGGACATCCACTGCACGCGAGAGTCACCTTAAAATTCCTCTTTCTCAGTTCAATCATACGAGGCCGCTGTTCGGATGGAGAAATGATGGAGTTGAGCAAAGACGGTAGTTTCAGTGAGCGAGAGAGACTTCGCCCTTTTGACTTACAAATTCAAGCTGATGTTGAGCAGGAGAAGATAGTAAGTGCATGGACCGATGTGGTCATGAGCGTGTGCAGGAAAATCTCCAGTGAAACAACACAGCAACACATCGCTCTACCTGCACAAACACTCATCCTAGGTGGTGCTTACCTGTGCTTCAGCAAGGTCCGTCTGGTGCCGACCAGCTCCAACGATTGACCCTGAAATCGCGCTAGTTGGGGAAGTTTAAAAAAGGACATTTCTGGTTTTGGGTAGAAAGGTTTAACCATATCTTGTGCAAAATCAAACGCATATTTGAGTATGTCAGTTCGCCTGTCGTGAACGACGGCAGAGTGGTGGACGCAGGAGGATGAGTTGCTCTCGAACCGGTTTACAATGATGCCGGACGTGCTCAACACCTGCAGTCCACCTGGGCCTGGTGACGAGGCAATGTCAGGACTAGAGGAAGTCCTGTCTACGCGGGCCACACACGATCCATTCCTCGGAAAACGTATCTGGCATTCGTAAGAGCGGCTCAGCTCTTACATGCGTGAGAGTGAGATAGAGGCCACATTCGGAAGGAGACGCTGGGCCCGACTCTCCGTCCTGACAGGGCCGATTTACCCAGCCTCCCAAGCCACGACTCTTCCAAGCTCGTAAGAATGCGCTGAATTGCTGTGAGAGTGGAGTACTGAGAACTTTGAACTGCTTATAGTCTCTGCGAAAAATGACACGAGGCAAAAACCCCGTATGAATTGATTGCATACCTCACTAAAAGGAAAGATTTGAAAGTCTCACCCCTCGCGGGAGAAAGTGTGCGGGATTGTGACCGAGCGTTAAAGCCCCTAACCGGGGTTCTGGTCAGAAGACCTCTCAGACGTGGACTGAGGAGTGATCCAATGAAGGGGTCATGAGTGACTTGACGCGAGTTCAGAAAGTATGCAAGCTGGGCACTCAAAAGTAGGACATATAGGAAGAGGTCCAAATAAGAGATGTTCCTCAAAGTCTAGGCGGGTAGCATTTCAAGGAGTCAGATATTTCGTCGCAAATAACCAGCACAACGTCGACTGCTGCATTTATGCAATCTTTCTATGTACTTCATCTGGCGAAAAGTTTTAATTACAGGATAAACTCTCATGCCCCGGCGAGCCCAACTCCTCACTAAGATCAATTTTGTGGATCTGCAGATTCCGAGCAAGTTCGATTTTTTATTAGTCAGTCAGTGTATTTGAGGGAAATAGGTTTACGCCTTTGAACTCCCTATTTGTACATAAAAAATCGATAAACAAGCAAAAATGTGAAGAAATTACAGCATTAAGTGAATGCATACATTGATTCACATATGTCACTAGTCGCATGGCTAAAAAGTCACATAGTCCGCTTGTTGCTGCAGCATATATCTTTCAAGGCGACATTTAAATGTCTCCACAGATTGAGACATAAAAACCGTCTCGGGCAGGTTATTCCACGGTTCCACGACACGGCTGGAGAAGAAATATTTTCTCACATTCAGTCTACCCTGTGGCACAAGTAGCTTGAAGGTATGTCCCCGGAGGTGAGTTGTAGTGGCGAGTTGGAAAAAGTCATCGCGCCGAAGGGCACAATCCAAGCCGCGCACGATACGGAAAGTTTGTATCATGTCTCCGCGCAACTGCCTATAACTCAGAGGATAGAGATTAAGGTTAGTTAAACGGATCTCGTATGGCAGTGCACTTTGACCTCTTATACATTTTGTTGCTCGTCTCTGCACCCTTTCGAGCAGATCGTAATCCTGATGCGTCCACGGTCTCCATGCCTGAATTGCATATTCGAGATGGGGCCTTATAAAAGTGCCAAAGACTTAGAAATCCTTGTCTAGAGAGAAGGGCGGAAACATCATGTCTGCCGATGTCGGAGCAGCCCACGGAAATTTGAAGGGGTGGGGAGAATCAGCGTCTCTCTGCTTATATGAATCTGTTGTAATAAAACTGTTACCAGCAAGACAGACGCGATGTCATCAACCTGCCTAAGGCATATTTAGCCTTTGCTTACATCGGTTGCGGTTAGGATGCAGATTAAGGTTATTGATAGGATAAGGGCTGGACTAAGGTTTAGGGTTAGGGTGCTGACTACGGCTGGGCAGCGTCAAGTTAGGCTTAGAGTCAAACAGTTTTAACTAAGTCAACCAAGGGGGCTTGTTTGTTCTTTCTGTGAATATTCCAATGTTGCACTTGAAAAATATATTTGGGAAACACATGTTTTCGGCAATTCATCGTCAGGTCTACGCAGTTACACGGAAAGTGAAAATATGAGAAATTGACAGGGTTTATAAATGTTTCAGGGACTATTGGAACTCATCGTTTCCACGACACCTGGCATGGCGAGGTCCGCGTGTTGTGGTCATTGGGGTAAGTTGGGGGGACATAGGCTGTGAGTAAGGCTGTTTGTAAGTCGAGTACGTGGAGTACACAGCACTGTAATCAGGGGTTGGGGTGACGCGAGATAACCATCCTGGGTCGGCGTTGGCCACGGAAGACAGGAAGCCTGTGTCAACGTCTTCTGACGGCATAGCGCTGGATTCGCTGGCCGTACAGCCACTGCTTGTGCTGTAGATAGCGCCCGTTTGTGTGGGCCCTTTGGAAACGTTTGCTGGTGTCCGGCAGACAATCTGAAAGGCTTCTTTGCTATAGATTCGGTGATTTGCATCAACAAGATGTGCGAGAATGGAAATCAACATCGATCTGTCTAGGCTGATGCGTGTTCATGGTCCCTCTTTTCCAGACGGCCAATGTATCCCGCTTCACAGTAGCAAGCGAATTAGTAAATCAGCATCAATGTAGCCTGCAGCAGCGGTCGGTCTTTACGTCACAAGCTCAAAAGCGATGGGTTTGCAAAACGCATGCGCGAATTCGCTGCAGGGAAAGCGCTCGTGCTCGCTGTCTCTAGACATCTTCTTACTACTTTGCCTACTCCGTCTCCTAGACAGGGCAGTCTTATAAACACGTCTTTCTTTTCTGCAGTTGCTTTGTCCTCCACCACGCCATAAATATGATCTCTGTTATGACCATTTCTGCCTAATTTGCCTGCCTGTGTCGATTCGAAAAACAGACGCCTTCCTGCCCCGCTGATCATAACTGCGGGTCATTTTGCTCGCTCTCCATTTTCACGTTCATGTCCCACACTGCCGGGGGGGGGGAGTGGTGCGTGCCGTGTGGTCAAGCCCCTCTGTCCCCTTACCAGAGACGTTCACACACAGGCACGCACAGGGAAATTGGCCGTGAATGTGGCAGCTTCTGTTGTTTTCTCTCATGATACCGGTTTTCTCAGCCCCCCCTCTCCCGTGAACGGTGCCGCGCCCAGGAAGTCCTTGCTATGTAAGGGGAAGACGGCAAGAGCGCCAGGTCGAGCCACCCCCCTCTCCTTCCCTTCCACCGCCACCGCCTCCTAGTTCTCTTTTGTGTGGGCCGCGCGAAGGCCCGAGACCAACTGTCGTGTCCGCTTCCCTGCGAACGGCAGCAGCAGCAGCAGCAGCGTCCCAGGTATTCTGTTATTTCTCATCCGGTTGTGCCACCCAGTTCACGCAAGCAGCTCGTTAAGTGCTGTTGGGTGGTGTGCCGTAGGGTTGAACTATCTTCTTAGGCACCCACGGGTCTTGGACGAGGAAGTTGGGCGACCTTGAGGGTGGGGGGTGGGGGAGGGGGTGAGTGGACTGAACGTTTCGAGTCGAAAACTGGCTGTATAGCATGTCAGATGGCATGACTGTCTGGGAGTAATCTTCCACACCACCGACTGCCAAGGCATGATAGCCGGAGGGCTGTTTTGGTTTGGCCAACTCCACTACTTTTCGCCGCCGCCGCCGCCGCCGCCGTCGCCGCCGCCGTCCCCTGCCTGCCAACCTCACGTCATATGCCAGGGCAATTTAAACGTTCATATGCGAGAAGTGACTGCTTTCGCGACGCCGAGAGGGAAACTTGGGCAAGTAAGAGAAAGAACAGCAGTGAAGGATTGCTCTTGTTGTTGTTGTTGCATTAGTCATGTTTTGGCGCAGGGAAGGATTATATGAGCAGGCAGGTAGCATAGTTGAAATTTTCAAAGGTTAGCGCAGTTTCCAAAAGAGACGAGGGATGTGCGAAATCACCCAGTCGGGAAACATCTGTCATCAAAGAGAGCGAGAGAGAGTCGAATCATCCCTGTTGCCTCCGCCACTGCTGTCTGGGCAAGCCCGTGAACTGAAAACACTTCATATTTCCAGGATTCGAGACAAGTATTTCATAGACAGCATGAAACAAGTGGTTTATAGAATAAGCTAATAGCAGCGAAGAGGCGAGTTCTAGGAATTGGTCACGGAGAAGGAGACACGATCGTTGGAACAAGTGCTTTATAGAATACCTTAACTTGAGATCCCTGCAGCACCCACGCGATGACAGAAAGCAGTCAACCGAAGCTGGCGGGGTGCAGTGCAAACCCCTTATCTCATCCCCAATTTCAGCTGCCACCTGAAAATCCAAACGATGACCATAAGCTCGACTTGGTGGAAGATAAAGACGCACATAACCCCCTCCCCCCCCTGCCCACTTTAACGGTCAGCGTTGAGGGAATTACGCAGTCGCAGAAACCAAAACCTCAAAGAAAGTGAATAGGGTTGAAGTCATCGGCTTTCTGAACCTTGGATGGGGACATGACAGGTTGGCCATCCAGCAGGCGCAATGCATGTTTCGCTGGCTGCCTTAACGTGTTTCGTCCCAACGCATGCCGCCTCCGCGAGTACAGCTCTTTCGATGGTCCTGACAGGCGACATTTTGGTGTCCCAGAATGATGACCCTTGACCCTGCTAGGACAACAAGCAATCACGCCACAGACTGAATGAGAAACAGATTGAATTTGAGATCTTACGCGCAGGAAATCGTCAGTAATATGCCATTTTGCGCTTGACGAGGTATCGATAGATGAGAAGTAGCGATCAGTCAAAAGGTAGGGGATCTTGCGTCAACTTCCAAGGTAAGTTAGGGTTAGGATGGTTGGTGTTAGAGCACGCAAATGGATACCCCTCCGGGAATTTTATCCAAGGCCGCCTATAGTACGAGGGTGGAGGTACTTATTCCTGTGTCAAACATCCAAAGGGGACAGACAATTGCGAACTGCGTCATGTTTCATGGTGAGACACTTCAGGACTACTGTTCTTCCGGATAAGCATCTGCGGGTAAAATGTTGGGGTTTGAGAAGTTCACTAAACGTCCTGCGGGCTGAGCAGGCGGGACTTCAAAGATTCCAAGCATGTAGCACTTCATGGGGTTTTAGTTGAATTCTCTTTCGATATATTTCAGTACGTTTGCGAGGTTGAAAGTCAATGCCTCTGAAAACAATATTTGTACACATGTTAGTGGACTGAAAGATAGCCGTACACGTACAACATTAATACCGAAGAGACATATTGTCAACATTATTTAAGTAGCACTGTTATTGTGTGTGAAATGGATGGCGGGCAGATGTAGAATTGTGGAGCCGTAGCAAAGTTGCCTCCACTACTGTCTCAGGGAGGTTCTTTTACTGTTCAGCTACATTTTGTGCCGAAAAACTACAGTAGGTAGGCTAGCTCATGAAATGTCAACCTAAATCCTCAAATGCGTTTTCGTTTTAGAAAGATTATTTAATTAGGGTTGTAAAACTAGTCAGCATGCAACATAATTCGATAATATTTTAGTTACCTCAGGATGCCGGCTTTCGAACGTACTTCCTTCCGGCTGCATGCAAAAACTACACTCTGTAAAAAATGACTACCTAGATGGCATGAATTTTTCTCATCGATTTTCGATGCCTCTAAAAGTCCAATTATATTACATGAAAAACATGCATAAAAATATTCATTCTTTTGCTCCTTTGGTAGAAAATTACGTCTTTTTCCAATTTTATACTCGAAGAAAGGGTGCACGTTGATTCTAAATAGGTCCTTATCAAAAAATTGTTGCATATGTACTTTTTAGAGCTTGCGGCAATCTCCGTGACACTTTTCACATTTTTGGCTTACTGAAGTGCGGGTTCCGACTGGCGCTGGATACAACTATCGGGGTCATTGTCCGAAAACACCATAGCCAGTTGAGTCCCACTCGGAAACTAGGGTCTCACGTTGTTGACTTTGAGCACATGAGGAAAACTGTGCGCTTTTGTAGCTTGAAATCAAACAGCTGTTGTTTTATCAAATTTTGCGGTGAGTGAGAGTTACAGTACTTGACCTATCTCATGAAAACTGATAACGGAATCTGATGAGAGAATTTCTGGACACCTTTAACGTTGAGCGTGTTGTTCGCTTATGCACATCCTTCAATGAAATGTCCTTTTCTTGAGCAGAAATTGTGTTTACGTAATTATATCAAATAAAATATCTAAAAACGAACAAAAACAGTGGAAATGACCTCATCGTATAGAGAAAGGCATATTCTTGCGTTTACGATAGAAAAATATAAGTATTGTTTAGGAACGCGAAAGAAACCGTTCAAAGTGTCAAATTTTCACTTGGCCTCACCGTGCAAACATGCAAAGTGCACAGGGATCCGTCAACGGCGTTCAGTAATAAGGCAGTTCCTAAGGAGGTAACTTATTAAGGAAAGTTTTCTTATTGATCTAAGGTAAATTCGTTGCTGACTTTCGTTGTGGACAGCCAGTTTTCTCGAAAATGAAGTTTGATGTTCGAATGAGTCTTCACATGTGACCCAAATGACCACCTTCGTGAAAAGGAGCGTCCGAACACTCAATAACTCAGCAAATGCCTTCAAGAATTATTTTATTTTAAAGTTCTCAACAAATAGGTAATTCAGAATCTGTCTTTATGGACGCTCGGGCGAAAGCACTGAAAATCATGAAGTATTCAGCAATACTTCGAGGTCGATCTGAAACTCAACGTAATCCAAAACAAAGGAAAAGTATAAATTAATTTAACGGAAGAAAAGTTCTCTCTATAAACAGAAAATGGCATGTTTTTGATTGCGCCTGTCAGTTCTATTTAAATTTATTAGGCACCGATCGGCCTCATAGCATGTCACCTTATGAGAACTTCTGTTCCTACGATGTCCCCATCAGTGAAACCAAGCAAAATCCAGTTTCTCTTGTTGAACCCCATCTCATTTAACTCCAAATAGTCAAGGAAAGCACAAAACACTGGAAAACTGTTTGGAATCTTCACTCAAAATGTTGGCAGTTGACAGACCGTCATGTATGAAATCACACTACTTGTTAAACGATATTTAGATGTAAACTTCACTGAAACACTATTTCTAGACGTTATTTAATTTCTACGTTCATATTTACTACGTTTTAGGTATGAGAATACATCCTGCACATCTAAAACGAAGTTTACTAAATTGGAGCCAATTCTGACGTTTTCGGTATATTGCGCTTTTCAAAATAAATCGGCATTTCTAAACAACGCAACACTGCCTTTAGTATTTCTTTTATTTTTTTAATTCTTTTAAACGTGTACTTAACTTACATACACATTGGACACGTGAAATGGTGTCGGTTTGTGAGTGATTGGCAATCATTTGTAAATTTCGGCAAATTTCATGAGTTAGGTCACTAACTGTATGTTGAAGGTTTCCGGGGGAAGGGGGGAGGGAGGAAAGTCTTGTTAAGTGAAGCTTTCCGAACGCTAAACTGGCAAGTACAAATCCGACTGTGGGTCCTGTGTTGATGTATGCACTTGTGAAATCTAGCTAGGTTTTGATTACTGGCAGTTGTACCCAAGAGCGGAGAAACAAAAAACTGAGCGTAACTGAGCAGGATTTGAGGGATAACAGAAATGGCTGTCCGTTGCTCGATGGTCAGGCACTCTTCCCAGACTGAAAGCCATGGAATATCCGGCTGGATACCCTGTCTGCATACATGCATCATTTTATTCGAATGTATCATTTTTGCGTCCGATCGTTTTCTGTGTTTACCTTCATTCTGTCAGCTTACTGTCCGATATGCTGCCTCACCCATAATCCCCCCCCCATAACCACCATTCTCGTGTAACACAGTAAACGGACAATATACCAACAGAAGAAGAAGCGATCGCTAGAACAAGGGGTTTATTCGCCTGACATTTCGGATTCTCGCTTTAACCGATCATCAGAGACAGAGGCAGAAAAGGGTGACTCGTGCACAGGAAGTTCACAGACTGCAGATGAGCTCCTGCATAAGTCATAATACCCGGTTCTGTCTGATAAGCAGGTGAATGTCCCCGAAAGAGGTCACGCTTGATACGATATGTTCAAATTTCGATGTGGTCAGAGCGGAGAAGGCGCTTCTGCCATCTATAAACCGGCGTTCATTCAGCTATCTTCATCGCAGGAAAACTATCAGCTCAGTTAATGCATGGCAGTTTTGTAAGATTTGTACAATTCATCTGATCCGGTTGTGAAAAAACTCGGTCGAACCCTCGTAGCTCAGGTGGCTGGAATATTGGCTGTACAGAAAGCTTTGCATATACTGTCGTGGGTTCGAACCCCACAGACTCTGCCGAGTTTTTCACAATTAGGTCAGAGGAATTAGGCAAATCTGCCAAAACACATATTACTCTCGATTCCGATTCAGTTGGTGATAATTTTTATATGTGGAAGATTGCGGAGTTTGTCAAACAGAGGACCCATGCTTCACATTTCTGTAAGGTCCGTAGATCCTTGTCCCGACTAAGGAAACAATCGTCTTTATGGTTTGCGAAATCCCCCTCAAGGTCAACCCTCCCCTAACATGCCGGATTCTAGCCGATGAAACACGTTCTGTCCTTAGAACGTTTTAACACCTTCAAGAATGATAGAGGGGCGCTCACCGATAGCTCTTACGGAAATAACTCGTTCGGTTGTGCCCTTCGGGCTCTCTCTGTCGAGCCCTACCAGCAGCCGCACGACGGCGCATGATATAAGCAGAATAGTTTTACCGACAAAGACTATTGTAACTTCAGAAATCTCTTGTGATTTATTTTTTTTCTACTCTACTTGAATAGTTCTCTGTTAAGTGACAATTGGTTGCCCGTTGAAGACTACACTATTTCGAAGGGCTGATCTGACCTCATCCTCAATTTTTAGGAGAGATCGAGTTCCCCGTCGCAAACGCAATCCTTATCACAAATCTGTCCTTTTTAGACTGTATAAGCATGCGTGAATGGGCTTTTTTCCGACGCGTCGAATAACCGGTCTTAAAATTAAAAATCTGCTCATGTGAGGTCGTGAAAAGGTTTGGCATGGAAAATGATCCCGTAGGCTGTCGAACATGTGAACAGTTCAGGATTGCTAGCCACTTCAGACGGTCTTTTATCCTCCATTACCTGGAAAGATTTTAAGAATTCAAATTTATCTCTCCGACTCTGTCGCCGAAGGCCATCAGAAATGTGCCGGCCAAATGTTCTCTACCTATTTGCCGAATTCTTTGGCTCATCCACGTGCAGAGTACTTTTTGTACGAAAAGCACGAATTCAGACTTTGCAACGACTCAGCGATCCAGACAATGACTTTCAGTCATGTTTCAGAACGTCTATTTAAAAAGGTACATGTTGGGAACATGACAGCAGTGGTTATTGAAAAAAGCACAGCTGATACCTCTCTGGTCAACTAGGGATCCCATAAATAAGGAGGTAATCAAGTTTCAGTTTAAGCCCCCCGACGCGTTTTGGCGCTGATACGTGGACGATACATTCGTCATTATTGAAAAGGACAAGCTATCGGGTTTCCAAGACCTACTTAACAGCATATTCCCCGACATTCAGTTTACAAGAGAAGACGAGGAGGACGAGAAACTACCCTTCCTGGACGTGCTCGTCACGCGCACACCTGACGGTGAACTCAGCACTACAGTGTACAGAAAGGCGACCAATACAACCCAGGTCCTCAACTATCATAGCAACCACCCATTGGTGCACAAACGAGGTTGTGTGAGGGCGCTTTTCGACCGGGTAAAAACGCACTGTAGCGAGCCCGAAGGAAGGATTCAAGAACTACGGCATCTGCGGGACCAATTAACAAAGAACGGCTACCCAAATAGCTTTATCAGTCGCTGCATACGCGCACACCCACGCCGGACAAACGGAAGAGAGTCACCAACAATTTGGCACTCTCTACCGTACATAAAGAATGCGTCCGAGGCTACAGAACGCATCGCGTCGGAGCTAGGCGTGGGCATCGCTCATCATCCGGCGGCCACCATGCGTAGCAGGATCATGAAAATGAAGGATCGGCTGGACGCAGGTGAACAGTCGGGCGTAGTCTATCGAATCCCGTGCCAAAACTGTCCTTGCCACTACACAGGTCAGACAGGACGACGTCTGAGCTCACGAATACTTGAGCACAAACGGGCCGTTCGGAGAGGCGACCCACTGTCTCAAGTAGCCACTCACACGCTCGAGGAAGGGCATGAGTTCGACTTCGCCAACACGCGGATATTGGCGCGAACCGGCAACAAGACAGGGCGAGAGCTGTTGGAGGCGTGGGTGTTGGACACCAACTCCCTCAACAGACACATCGATTTGCCTGCGTGCTATCACGCGCTCCGCCCACGCAGCCAGGTGGCGCAGCTCACACCGTCGCGAAGTGCAAATGGCGTCACCACGCCGGGGGAACATCGTGGACCAGGCGGCACAAACCCTACCTAGCCACGGACGTACTCCCCCTCCCCCCCGCAAGGATGAACGATATAAATGTTCACAATTTGCTGCACTCGAGTAGCCTCTGATGATGAACTCTAGTTCGAGTTCGAAAGCTCAGGCAAATAATCCTACTGTCCCAGTGATCGTGCCTTCGCCTTCTTTTAAAGAAATAATAGTGTTACTGAATCACACAAAGTAAACATTAAAAGGCAATAATAAATAACCCCGTGCATAGACTACACCGACGACGACACCGTGAGCCGGCGTGTCCCTGTGTTTCGCTGGAGAACACATTACGGCTAAAAAGTTCTGCTCAACAAGAAGAACCGAGACAGTTGAAGTGTCATTGCCCTGGCTTGACAATCCAGAGACAGTAGTCCTTTTCTTCGGTAAAATGGAGTACCTGCATGAGTGTCGAATTTGATCTGAGCGCGAAGTATACCACGGCGACTTCTTGTGTGGAATCTGAAAAGACAGGGACGGTTACACAGGTACGCTTCAAAATTCAGGAAAGCTTCGGTGGCTACGAAGTTGTCCTAATGTCTTCGCTGAAGACAGTGTGGTACCTTCTCTGTCTGAAACTGAGTGCGTGAACGAATTTTAGCAAGAAAATGTGGCCTTTGTCTTCTGCGTGCTAGTAAAGGGAAAATACTGCATTGCAACTTCGACAACAACCTACTTTGAGCCTTAAGTCTGCTTCCCGACGTGAGAAACTGTCGATACCTAAGTACGCTTGTCTTGAACTGTACAGTCAAAAAATTAAGTGCTCAGGTTGTCCCAAATGACCTGACAGAAAATGTGTTTTTCCTAGTGAAGCTTCAGTGTAGAAAAATGTAGGAAGACCGTCGCCAAACCCCTCGAAGTTGCGTTTTGCAGCAGCAAAGGATCGGCGAAACACGCGTGGGTGGGCATTTAGCCAGTACCTGTGTTGTCAGTATGGTACACCACTTAGTGCTTTTCCTTGCCGCGAATGCGGTCCAGCCACGTTCCTCTGGATATCGTAGGCCCCTTGCCTCCGTTCAGTGGTCAAACATCCCTCTTTACCTGCGTCGATCAGCACACTCGCAGGGTAGAAGCCGCTCCTTTGCAGAATGTGGAGGTGGATACCATCGTAATGACTTTCGTCAGTCGGTGAGTCGCTATGTTCAGTTCCCCAACCACGGTCACGCCTGCTCGAGGTGTCCGCTTCGACTCCGCACTCCCCCAAGGCCTCCTCGGCTGCCCAGACGGTCTACCACCCAGCCTTCAAAGACATGGACCAGTGCTTCTACCACCAACTCAAAACTTCTCTGCGTGCCGCAGAGGACTCAACGAGCCGGGGGGAGGGAGATATTTATCTGTCACTGTTTGGGCATTCAGACGGCATTGAATTCGGATTTGGACTGCAGGGCGGCCGGATTAATGTTGTACGGCAGCCTCCTCCCCCGCCTTTTTACCTCATTGTTCCTGAGCGTAAGCCTCGCACGGAGGCATAATTTACATCACTCACAGCACTCGTCGAGTAAACCGTCCTGGTCATGTGATTACTCATGCTTTATGATATCAAATTTAGGTGAGATCGCAGTTGGTAGCCAGGAATGGCAATGTACGTTGATATTGACGACGTACTTATTTATTATCAGTAGGCGTGCTTATTTTGCTCGAAAAATTGATTATCAGTAAGTGTGCTTCTACTGCGTGAGGTAAGTCGGACATTTTTGGTGTGGGTGATGGGTTTGGTGTGGCTTACGGTTAGGCGTAGGTTGGAGGAGGTTTTAAAACCAGCTTTCAGTGTATACGAGGACACCATGGTGACTAATTTGTTATATTCCTTATTGTGCACAACTTTTCCTAGTCAGCCCCTTTACTGTGCATTTTGCAACTTTGCCGTTAATGCGGCTTTGCTTCAGTTGGCACTTATTAACCTCAAGGATGCACCTTTTTCGATTAGGCAAAAATTTGTGTAGATAGTCAATAACGGAAGATTTCTCTTCTCATGCTTTATCTTTCTGCCGGCTTCGATGAAATCGAGGGAAGGGCTGGCAGGGCAGTCAAGGTTGAGCTAGTAATTCTCGTGATTTGTAGTGCAGATTAGGGTTATCGACCTCTGGTACTCTATGAATACCTTCACCACCCAACAGTTATCATCCGTAACTGCAAGAAACAGTCTCCAATAGCGTCCACAACTTAATAACAGATAATTCGGCCGTTGTGGCCGATGTGGTCAACCGTGTGCTCTACAGCAGGGCGAGAACAGGGCCGGTGACCCACGCGTAACTTCTTTCATAGTGCTGATAGACTTTCGAAGTGTCTACAGCACCTTCTCCACCTCTTCCGTCCCCCTCCCCCTGAACCCGGTGTCAAGAAGACCGGAGGCGGGAGAGGATGTAGGTGGCTAGCACGACGAAGAGCCGCACACAGGCGCACCACTACAAACCCTGGTCCACAACAAAATTTTGGCTTTACGCAACAAAAAAAAGGGGGGGGCTCGGCTCCCTACTGGCGCGGCGTGAGTCGGCACATGGGTGTGCCGTCACTATTACCATCCTTCGGCTTCCCAATCGCCGGACGATAAAGTGTATGTGTCCTCGGTCCCATCAGTAACAAGTGTTGGGCTACCTGCCCCGATGTCCACGTTACATAGGTGGGGCGTGGTGTCTGCTTGTCTTGAAAACGAGACTGCATATCCAACCGAGGAGGCGGCCTCAAGAGAGGAATGCACCCTAAGTGCTGAATACAAAAGTACTGGGCCCGAGTGAAGGCAGATGCGAATTCTCCAGCTTAAAACCCTGGAAGATGAAGAGTCAATAAGAGCAGTGGAAAAACTTCGAGTGCAGACCCAACGCCAGCTGAAATATGAAAATACCTTTGATGTTTTATAGTTGCGAAAATTCCCATTGTAAAATTCAAAAGGCAATTTGGCGAGCATATGTCTGTTTTCAATAAATTCTCTTCAGGCCGTGTAGACGCCAGAGCGGCCTTCAGAGTGATTTACAAGGTCCCATCAAGCTATCCAAAACTACTTGGGCAGCGCTTGTTGGCTACGGCAGAGGCGGCTGCAATCAGGCTACGCGGAACGGTCCTATGCGCACAGAAGAACTTCATGCAGGCCCACAGTTGCCATGGTTCAAAGCCACCAATCCAACCACCCGCATGTAATTACCTTCGCCGGAACTCACCTTCTCTCTGACGCTGACTGGAATTGTAATGTTTCACTCTCCCCCTCCCCTCCCAAAACCCAAGCTACAGCTTAATTATCTACATGCCCGTATCTTTTAATTCATTACTTCAATAGCCATATAAATGTACAGGCCTCAAGAGAATTTATCGGAAGCGGGCGTATGCCCCCTACATTACCTTTTGAAATGTTGTTTTGTCGATGTCCACGTGACACAAGTGGGTCGTGATGTCTGTTTGTCTTGAAAACGCGGCTGCAAATTCAACCGCGAAGGCGGCCTCAAGAGAGGAATTCACCCTGAGTGCTGAATACAACAGTGCTGGGCCTGAATGAAAGCAAATGACAATTCTCCAGCTCAAAACCCTGGAAGATGAAGAGTTAATAAGAGCATTGCAGCAAACACCCGGTCGAAAAACTTCGAGCGCAGACTCAATTCCAGCTGAAATCTGCTAATACCTTTGCATTCAATTCGTGGACAGGCTTACATAACTGATGCCCGAGAAATGGCCACAAGATCAACTTCTGCAAGACTTCAAGGACGCAGGCATTGTTTACCCGTACAAACGCAAAGGAAACTGAAGAATGAGCGACAAGCACCCCCTAAAAATCTCCCTTTTAAACACCGGTGGGAAAATATTCGTTCGAGTATGAATCAGTCGATTCAGTCCGCACCTAGAGCAAGGAACCGTTTCCGAGAATCAATGAGGACTCTGAATAAACTCTAGATCCACCGATATGAGCTTGAAAGTCTTGTGGCTTGGTAACTTTCGTGGTGTCGACTTCAACGTGCACAATCCTGAGATAGCTCGGATTCCGACTCAGCCCAAGCTAAATGCCAAACACCAGAGGACTTCTACCTACCTACTACTCAGAGGTCTTTCTTGACGGGTGGAATTATCACAGACAAGTAGAGAAAGACTGATAGGCAATCAAGAAGGAGCCGTTTCTCAGGAGATGACGCAACTTTCGGATGCCGGACGTCAATATCAGCTGCTTTCTCGTTAACTTTGCCCGTCAGCATATAGGCGTGATAGGTTTGGCCGTCGCAGGCGAAGACATCCACTGCGTGTTTCACGAGGTGGGCGCAGAAACGGTGACTTGCGCGGGAATTAGTTTGCTGTGGGACAAGCCTGTACGGCATCTACTACAATTTATCCTCCTTCATCTACCTTGTTCCGATGTCCAGACGGCCGGAGGTCGACTCAGGCGCAGTGGCTGGTAGACTTAAACAGCCCGTCTACACGTGCCACGCACGAGCTGGACCCCTTTACGTATATCAGACCTCCATCAGGACGACCCGGGGCTCACAAAGATGAGCACTCTGTAAAGGCCGTTCTGAGCAACCACGGCGTGCACCAGACTCATGGACAATCTGTCATTCCGACGCGTTGCATCCCCTTATTCCACATCTCTATATCCCGCACACAGACATAAGGAGGCGAAAACAGACTCAGATGGGGTCTCCACAGACTTTTAGAATCTTCCTCGTCGGCCACATGATACCTGGTTGTGAGCTGCTACGATAACGAGATACAGCTGGTATTTTTTGTTTTCCAAATCTGAACGAAAAGCAATCTCCATTTTCTGAGGGATGGCCTGGACCACGTCTCAGCTTGGTCGTTGGAAATGGTCTCCTAATGAATAATCAGAAATCAGTCCAGTGTGTTTTCCGACTGCGACCCTCTCCTGGTCTTGGATCCTTAGACATTCTTCCCAACGAGGTATCCTCTTTCCGGTATCTAGGTGTTACCGTTACATAAAATCTTTCATTCTCCCTTCCTACTGAGACCCTTTTCACTAAAATTCGTGATCTTCTTTA